AAAATTAAAGAGAATTCATAAAAATAATTTTACGCTAAACAAAAAAAAAATGTCGTCATATTTGGATTTTAAAAACACAAATAATCGGTGGTGGATTTTTACAAGTATGCCGATATCTACCCAAATCAAAAGGAATGGAAGTAAAAGAGCAAAACTATAAATAGGGAAGTAAAAGAGAATAAATTGGGAAAGTACTTAATGGCATTTAGGAAAGGTTTCCTTAAAACGTTTATATGTATTAGAAGCTACTCGTATAACATAAAATAGATCACCGACTTTTCTTAAAAATTATATGTGCGATTGGGTTCAAGTACAAAAAACTGTGCTACATAACACGTAGCAAAGAATAATTTTTTCGACAATGAATTTATTGAATTATCACGTGATCAGTTGGTAAGAGTTGGTGCAGTTTTATTCACATAGCGCCTTACATTATAAAAATATTATTACCTAAGATAATATAAGAAAAAAAGAATATTAAAATAATATCCTTATTTTGATATAAAGACGAAGGAAACATACTTGAATTTTCCATGTCATTGCTTCAGGTTCAATATAGTATCCGTTTTTACTACGTCTATCAAAACGAGCTAGTCAGGAATAAAAAAACAATCGCATTCTCTTATTAATTTATTATGCATTTTTTCATCCAGTTAATTATTTTATTATCTAATATATTCTATGATGTATTCTTTAGCGATTATCTTCTGATTATAAACCTGAAGAAATTGATCGATGGAGGAGAATTTGTCGTTAACAATCACCACTAAATCAAATGTTCAATTATTTTATTTTGAGGACTTCAATAAATATTAATAATTGAAAAAATCATAATTTCTTTATAAAAAATTATAAAATTAATGGATGAAATATATTATGTTAAAATAAAACTATACTCAAGAAAGAAATAAGTGAATATTTTACCATTATTGCTCGTTACTCTGAGGATTTTGTAGAAAAAAGTCTTTAAGTCTTTAAATCAACTGTTATTAGAAACAACTCAATAGAATTAAGTATATGTCACTTAATTTTTCTTCCACCCTTATATTATAAAGTTGGCAATTGAGTCTGAGTTATTGTAATATTGTATACCAATATGAAATAAAGTAAATTGGTTAATAAGAGCAGAACCAATAGTTGCACTATTACTTATTTACACTAGAATAGTCGATGGTATCAGTAGCTATTGTACATTATTATTTGTGCTCAACCTTCCAGTTCTCTCACTAAACTGGAGATATAGTCAGTACTATATCTATACATGTTAGTTTTTAGTTTTATAAACTAAACTATCATTATTAATAAAATAAATATTTACACTGAAAAAACTTTTTAAAATAATAAAACTTGTTTTTAAATTGCAAATCTAGTAAAAATATATTAATTTTAATGAATGAAACAATAATCATCAATGTTGGTATTATTATTTCAGTATTTCATATAATCTCAACATAAAGTGGAAGTGAACTGAATATAAAATTAATAAAGAAAAAAGTAGACCTTAGCAAATATTAACTTACTTGACTAAGTTACTAACTATATACGACTAGATACATACTCGAATATGCATGCCGTCCATAAAACCAACAAGAAAAATCAGAAACCACAAAGACCTGCATAATTTCCAATTTGAATAACGAAGAAAATAAACAGAAATTGTTTTGTACATTGTATCGTGTCAAAACACGTGTCTATAAGAGAGAAAAAAAAAAAAATAAACTAAGAAAATAGTGGCATAAAAAACTGGTCCCTATTTCAAGTTCAAATGTCGACGATACAGAGAAAAGGTCGCTTACACTCTTATTTCTCACGAGGTGGCCTTCGTTGATTTCACTATAAATAGTACAACTGCTGTACGCAGTAGAGAAAGGAGAAGAAAAACTTTTTATATATAGTTTTATGTACGAGTGCAGATAGTATGGAAGAAGAGTATGAGTTTGGTGGATAGAGTAAAGAGAAATGACTTAAGCATAAAGGTTTCGATGCAATTTTTAAGTTGGATTAACCTTTATTCAATTAAGAGTGTGGATTGGTTGCATTTATATGTATAATTGAAAAATATATTGCAATATTACTATAGCTCAGGGCTGTCTAAAGCACGGCTAATGTTTGTGCGACCCGCAACATGTTTTTAATCTACTACAACAATTATGCAAATTTTCTTTTGGTGTACTGGCAAAACTATACTATTTTATTTTTATGGTGCCTTCTGCTCAAAAAGTATTCGAATTTTGTAAATAAAACACACAAATTTAAATTTTATTCCATATTTATTTTATCTCCTTCAAAATATGCTCCTTCTGAAGTCTTCTCGTTCTACACATATGCCAACGCTTAACCTAATTTTCCATACACTTTTCGTAGGCTCGTGCAGGTATGGCTTTTAGTTCCTTCGGCGATTTCTCTTTTACCGATTTAATCGACTTAAAACGCTTACCACGAAAGGGTAATTTGAGTTTCGGAACAGGAAAAAGTTCGGGAACACCATATGCGCCAGATCTGGCGAATATGGTGCCTGAGTGATGACAGTGGTGCCGTGTTTGGTCAAAAAATCGCGTACAACAAGAATTTCCCATAGTAAAAATCGCTAAATGCACTTGAGGTAGTCTCACATTAATAGCTGCTGTAAACAAATTAATTGACAGATGGAGCTCAAATTTGTACTATATGTCAAGAAAGGGTGTACCAACAAAATTTTTTGAATAAGGTCTATTACTTAAGGAGTAGTTAACAAACAACAAAATCCAACAAACAACAAAACACTTTTTAGCAGAAGATATACCAAATAAATTAATTTAAATTAGCAAATTAATAAAACTAAAGTTAACATAACCGTATTTTTATTTTTATCGAAAACAATTATGTATGTAACTATGTATACACGTATGTATTTGTTTCTGCAGCCCCCCAATCTATACAGAGATTTGTTTGAACAGCCCTGCTATAGATAATACCAATAAGCGCAATATTATTTAATTAATATAGATGAATCAAGTGATATAATTACTTAAGTTCCAATATGGAAATGGATTTGACATTGTACAAGTTAAAACTATCTGTCATAAAAATGGAAAAATTAAAAATACCAAATAAAGAGATTAGAAATCTATTATTGTGATAGTTAAAAGGATTTTCACGGAATCCTTGATTAGTAGACCTTACCCTATATGTAAGGCGATTGAAGTGTTACTTATTCAAGCGATCTTGTCTTTTTTGTGTGAAATTATTTATTATTAATACAAATTACAAAATTTTGTGGAAATAATCAAAATTTCAAAATCCATTCCCTCTAGCTCGACGTATGCTTGTAAACAATTAACACCTGTCATTCGTATGAATTTTACGTACTTAACAATATCAGTTTGACAGATACACCTGTGTTTAGTTGGTAACACTTCAATAGCCTAACCCTGTATGTACAAGGTGTGCACCTAAGTATATAGGACTTTTTATAGATAACAACAAAACCCTTTTTTTTTAGGAATAACCGATATATTCTACTCATATTAGATTGTAGGCTGGTGGTATATTTTGGATGGCTATTACTTCTTCTTGAAAACGATATTCTTTTATTGGGTAAATGAAAGGAAATCATTTGCCTCATAATGCAGATGTATTTTAATATATCACCCTTTATATACCATTTTGCTTTCTAATTTTTAGCAATGTAAGTGTTAAGTTTGATTTAAAATGTGGTAGAAAATATTCCTTCGATATAATTAAATTATCTTTATAATTATAATAGGGTCAATAAATTACATGTCGAAAAGTATAATATAATTTATTATTACTAAATAGTTTAAATAAATAAATGAAGAAATATTCAAGTAAGAAAAGATTGTACCAGGTAAATACATTAAATAAAGGCAAGTTTTACAAAATCCTAGCTGTTGTTAAAGCGTTAATTTTATAAGACAAGACGTATGTGTTATTTGGGTTTGATTATATCAACTTTTAATAAAATTTTTATAGGCGCTATAGGAAGAAAATAGACAATATGAACTTGCCTGAGCCTAAAACTCATAACTAACAGGACATAACGTATTTATTGTATATGGAAACCAAACCGGTCAGAGCGCAATTCAATGCATATGTATATATACATCAATAAATAAGATATTAATAGCATTGTAAAATTAAAAAAATTTCGCTTTGCTTTTTTAGAGATTATACTTCTAAATGCATTAATGGAAGATGGAAGAAATTCAGAACTGGAATTTCTTATATTCTGAACAATGAAATTTTGTTTGCAATTTACTTGAAACAAATTTAGCAAAAAAGATAATAAAATATAATTATTAAATTATATTATAATTTTAAATAAAATGTACTACAATGCTATTATGCATTTGCAAGTCACATTCGATAGATAGAAAATTTTTCAGTTATATAATGGGCTTTATAATGTGAATGCATCTTAATTTTTGCCATCACCGTATTAAACTAATTCAAAAAATAAATGAAATAGTTTTAGTCTGATACATTATCTAAGAGAATTATCGAGTTTAAACTTCAGTTGAATATTTTACATGAGACTTCCTATCGAAAGCATTGTAATAGAATAGGACATATGAAGCTCATTTAAGTAATAAATTTGAATATATAAAAAAAAATTAATAGCGATAGCAATAACAATAATATAATATAATAAATTTATAAACTTATTTATAAATTTTATTGTTTATATATCTATATAGATATAATCTAAAATTTTGGAAGAATAACAAAAAATTGGATGTTTGTACCAAAATAGAGCTATATGCTTATGGGGTATCGTGGTTTAAATTTGTAATGTTTATATTTTTATACTAATTACATAAAATCTAAATCAAAAATTAAAAATATGCTTTTGTTTTTCCTAACTATATTTTCACAAAAACTATGTGAAAAAGAACTTTTAGATAATCCCTTAAACATCAATCACTTAGAACTTGTTTTTTAAAATGTAATAAAAAATAATCAAATTGTTTAAAAAAAAAAAAATTAAATATATTACTTACCATTTGCATCAGTATTGCCACTCTTGAATTCATCATCATAGATTGACTGAGATTTGTTAAGAGTTTTCTTTACAAACAAATCATTAATTTGAGATGTGCTAATGTTTTCAACATCTTTCTCATCACGTGCATTACATTTGGTTTGCTCTTTAGCAGATAAAACTTCTCCATAAGAAGAATCCACTGAACCAACTGAACTATGAGTAGTTGCTCTTTTGTTTTTACTATGCATAGATGGTGAAAAGGACTTAGTGTTGTCCTCTTCGCTAAGACCTGCGGGAGCTTTATTTAAAGTCGGTATTGGAGGTGAAACCAAACATAGTGGCGAAAGATCTGCTAAATCTTCAACATATTCAGTTTTAGATTGTTTATCTTCGTTTATATTATCAATATTATTAGGTTTGTATTGTTTTTGCAATGTAGGGATTGGTGGCGATGTTGAACAAGGTAAAGAATATTCAGAGAACATTTTTAAATCTTCCTGTAATTTGGTTGTAATAGTTGGTATGGGGGGTGAAGCTCTAAGCTCTGATGAAGAGACAACATTAATTTCTATTGCATTTACCAAATCTGCAATATATTCAGTCTTAGATTGTTTATCTTCGCTTACAATATCAATATTATTAGGTTTGTATTGTTTTTGCAATGTAGGTATTGGTGGCGATTTTGAAGTAGGTGAAGAACATTCTGAGAACATTTTTAAATCATCTTCCTGCAAATTTGTTTTAATAGTTGTTATGGGGGGTGAAGCGCTACGCTTTGATGAAGAGAGCTGATTTTCTGATAATACATCTTCATCCATTTTTTGACGTTCAGCCATTGTTATTACATTTGGTATATTTAAACATTTAGGTTGAATATTTCCTATTAATTCCTCTTCCTTTTGACGCTTTTCCATAGTAACTACAGGTGAAAAGAGCTGATAAAATGGAGAATTGTAATCCGGTTCACCGATATTTGGTTGACTTTGAGGAATTGGTGTTAGTGGTGTTTTCGAACATTCTCTTTCAAGACCGTTTGTGGCGAATAGGTTATTGTGCTCACCTGTTAGTGGTGTAGATGCTTTCTCAGATTCGCCTGTTTTCAAATTTAATTTTTCTTTTGGCGTTAGATATAACAAAGCCGAATTTTCGTGCAAAGACTTCATGCTAACATCAACATCCATGTCTTCCATAGTATTACTTTCTTCAGTGCTGTCATTAGCATTTACGAAATTATTTTTAACAGACTTGTCTATAATTGTTGTTAGATCAGTCTGTGGTGTAATGTCATTTTCATGTGAATCTGAAACAGACTCATTCGTATCTAATGAGCTGACAGTGAATGTTCTTTTTGCAGTTGTAATAGGTAATGTTTGATTATTATTAAATATACTGTTTAATGCAACATCATTACTATTAAGACCTAAAGGTGAATCCAAAGTATTCAAACCATTGTTTTCATTCACTAGATTTAACTGTGGACTATTAGATCTAAAATCAGAAATAAATTTATTTGAATCATTTAATTTTTTTGCATAGTCCGATTTTTCTAAATATATTATTCCCTTATTTGCAGATGTGGGTGACTGTGGAAAACGGTAAGGTTCATTGATATCATTGATATTGGAAATCGGAAAAGCGGGCGAAGACGGTGCAGAACTTCTTGCACTACAAAATGATGATGACATATCTAAAGTTAAGTTTAAAGTTGGTCTTATAACTGGTTGAGCTACTATGCCACTTGCACTGGCACCGGAAAATTCTGGTACACTTTCCTGTGTTAAACTGCTGTTTAATTTCCGTGGCATTTCAATACTTTTGTTCAACGATTTTTCTAAATTCTCTTGTTCCACATCAAAATAATTATTAACCGATATATCAGTATTGGTGAAGTTTAAATCAATATCCATAGGTTCGCTCGGATTTACTTCTAAATTATTTGTCACATTTAGTTGCCAGGATTCTTTTGCGTGTGGTTCATATGCTGACCTATTAAATGCGCTTTCGATTTCATCCAGTGTATTTTTAGTGAATTCATCACCTAAAAGTTCGGCAGCAGCCAATTTTTTTAACTTTTGAAATTCCGCTTCTATGGCTTCGCATTCATTGTATGCTTCACTATCAGATGAATTTATTTCATCCTTTAGTAGATTTTCTTTTAATGGAAAACTGTTTTTAATATCAACGTTTTCTGAAAAGAAAAAAAAAAAAAATAAATAAATACTACATTTGAAATATATAGTTGAAATATAATATTTACCAGTTGTGTTTAGTACTGTTAAAGTGGGTATGAAACCGTCTTCAAATGTTGTTTTTAAATGTTCTGAAATAAGAAACATGTATATTTGTAATTATGTGAATAAAATAAAATTAAAGTAGTGGGTGTAAAATGAATAATAAAAATTTGTGTTAGAGAATATGCTTAATAATAAGAGTATTAAACTGAAAAAATTAGGATTGGATTTTTTTAAAAGACACGAATTGTGTACCAAACGGTTAACTACATAATGAAATGGGATTTGAATAGAACTGGGTACTTATAATTACATAGAACAATTGTTTGATATTTTTATAGAACAACTTTGTTTCACTTTAAATCACAGGTGACAGGTGACCTATAATTTAAATATATAATCTGAATGTTTGATTTAATTTTATTTAGAAAAACCAGAACCGATTTCGAATAAGAGAAGATACGGTTGCAGTTCTTCCCACAATAGGGGTAGTTTTTAAATAAAAATTACTTTCTTAATGAAACTCAATGAAATCCAGTTTGGAAGTAAAAATTAACCTTTTTTGTGACTAATTCAGCTTCAAGCTCTACAGGTCCCAAGAGGACCTATATAGCATAAAATCTGAATGGGTTACAAAACGAATATATTGGTTAGGATAAAGTTTTAGTGTAATTGGTTAAGGGAAGAATAAAGGTGTACAGGACAAATCGATATAAGTTTTAAAGTTGCAACTACATAAAACATGGATGAAATTAATTTTTTTAAAAATTTGGTGTATGGAATATACAGGTAATAATTTTTACTTCTGGATCTGTGATAGAAGGATGTGTTAAAACGAAGGTGGGCCTATTGCTTAGAAATCGATAGTTATGTCTTATGAATACTGTCGAATGAAATAACTAATTTTGTTGTATATTTCTGGAGTTGCATGACACAAATTGTCGTTTATAGTTGGGGCTCTAGTCATGGTTTTGGACAACGTTAGTATATGGAACTAGATTATCTGTCAGAAAACTGATGACAGATGTTATTGAAGCAACCATTCTAAATGGAAAAAGATGTTTTGATACTACGTATCCAGTTTTTTTCTAATATGTCTAACCGATGTCTTAAAGTATATTATTGTTTGACAAAAGTCAAAATTTAAGTACAATCTTTTATAAATTTTCAATTGAAACTATTTAATTTTTGTGTGGCGTTCTAACACGCGCAGGGTAAAGTTAGTAAACTAATAAATTTATTAATATTTAGTAGTGGTATTTACCTTCAATATTTGGATTAAGACAGTCTGGCAATTCCGGTATTTCAGATTCATCGAATTCAGTCAAACCTTAAATATATAAACGTATTAATAAAAAAAATAATTAAATTATTGAAATTCAGTTTAAATTTACCAATGAATTTGTGTGATGATTTGTTGGTTCCACCAATAGGTCTAGTGGATGACGTTGGTGAATCACTTATTTTTTGTCCAGTTGACGGAGAAAATAGTGAGTTAGCTTCATAACCAGCTGAACCGGCAGTTGGTGAAGGCGATGCATTAGGCGTAGGTCCAGTGACTTTTATCTGAGGCTGAGAAGACGGAACAGATAACTTTGTCTCTGCCATTGTTGCTGCTTTATTGCTTATTTGACTGAGCTAAAAATGAAGGAAGAAATTACATATTGATAGTATTAAAAATGTATAATTTTTTTTATAATTGTGCAAGAAATTTATTTACTATTTTGGTCAAATAATACTGCTGCACTAACCTTCGGTAGAAGCATTATAAAAAATTCAAGCTACAAGTCTGTTCAGCTCTTTGGCAACATAATAAATTGCATTCAAATTTGTAAGCAGAAAGAGGAAAGATTTTCAATTGAACATGAACATGAAATTCTCTGCAAGTATTTTTATAACATATATTTTTATATAAACTATGAAAACTTGCAAATAAGCGAAGTTATCATGCATATTTTCTCTAATTTAATTTGTTTTATTTTTTTATTTTTCATACATGAAAATATATGTAATCAAAGGCGTACTTTTCAGCGCCGCCTTATAATGAAATTTCTTGCCTGCCACATTTTTATAATTAATTTAAGATTCCACGCGCTTTATAAACAATTTCATTTTATACTATATTTGTACTCTACATTCGGAATATTAAGACATATGCATCTATTAGAGATGATATTATCGGTGAGAGATGATATAAATGCATTTAAACAATTAAAAATTCAAAACAATTTTGTAATAGCAGGGTCGAAATTTTTATTAACCTAGTAATTTATACGAAGCTGTTCGAAGAGCTATCTATTCGCCAATCGACGCCATTTTAATATTTCATCCTTAATTAAAACATTTTTAAACATTTAAAACATTTAAAGTTTACAATATTTTTTAATAATGAAAATAGCTGAACATCGTACAATAATTTATTCTTTGTAAAAATGTATTAGGTGAATCAGCTTCTGCAATAAAGAATGGTTTGCAAGTAGATTGTTTACATGAAGAACGTTCAAATACTACATCAGCACCAGGAGTCGCAAAAAATAGAAGATATAAAGGGACTTTTTAAAAGATCTAGAGTTTTTTTTCTAGACACAATAAACAAGCAATATGTTATTTGAAATTTGAGTTTGACAATGCAACATCTGAACCGATTCAGAAAGATTTTTATGCATTGTTTTTTATAATGACTTTAAAGTGCCTAAAGATTGATGTGAACGCAGGTATTACAGTCAATTTAATGGGATAAAAAAGGAATGTTGTTGCTAAATTTAGGTTAATAAATTTTGATCAATAAAAGATTGATAAATTTAGATTGTGTTGTTTATAAGCGAACGAAGGCATTTTTATTTTTGTGTTCTAGAAAAGAAGTTATATCTGATGGAGTTCAAACGTGATAGTGTGATGGCTTTATATTTGACTGAAAAAACACAAGTGACTATCGTTCGAGCCGTCCAACATCTAAATAAGAACAAATTATTTGTGTTTCACATACCGTGATACTAGTAGCGTTGCCCGATGCCCAGGAAGTGAACAAAAAAAACAGTAACAACACTAGAAATGATTCGTAAAGTGAAGAAGCGAGAAAGGATGCAACACGTTTTGAAAAATAAGCTCGGACTAAGGCCATTGAATTTGAACGTACATGACTTTACCGATGAACAAAAACAAAGTTAGAGCCAAAAATTATGTTCCACGCTTTATCATCAATACAGTGGTTATCGTGTACACCAGAAATAAACCCTTTAGATTTCTCGGTCTGGGGCAGTTTATAAAGTAAGGTTCGCACTAAAAAATACCAAAATGTTGATCGTCTGAAGCAAGTGTTAAGAATGTGCCAAAATACTGTAAATTTGCAGGCAGCGTGCGATAGCTTCAATAGCCTTCCGAAGGCCATAATTCACGCTAGAGGTGATTATATTGAACCAAAATAAATGAACTTAGAAATTTAAAGTTCTTTTCGCATATTTTTCTTTATCTTTCATTGAATTTAACAAAAATTAACAAAATAGAGCGTTTTACTTTGTTGCAATATTTGTTAGCCACCCTGTATAAAACTATTAATGGATCAAATGTACTAATAAAGGTACACAAATGCATTATAAAAGAAATGTATAACAGATGCTGAATATCGCTATTTGATATGTTATTAAAACAAGGTTATATGACGCGAAAAACTATTACTTTTAAAGCTTATGGCTGCTTTATAAACAAAAGAGACTATAATCATAGGTAGATATGGATATATCCTAGAAATGTATTTTGACCATCTCAGCAAATTATCAAAATAATTTTAGCACATTAGTTCTTGATTATAATTTAGATATTTAAGATAATTGTCACTGCTGTTGTTTTAAAGTTTCTAGGGAACCGTTACAACCACACTGACGATCAATATCCATTTTATTCTTTGACAAACCAGCCACTATAAGATATGTGAATTTTTGATTTTCAATAACAAGAAGTCTTTCGATTTCTTAAATTAAATGTGTGCTAGATTTAATTACTTTGATTTTTTTCCCATGACTCTCCTCTCCAAGATTTATTTCTACATGGAAGCTAATGTCAGAAAAAGTCAGAATTAAAATATTTTGATGTCTTAATGAGTCCAATGCAACCATTTTCTTTACTACCGTGATGAGTCGCCACTGTAGTCAACATGTTCACTGTTTTATAATAAAATCTATATATATAATAATTTGTTCTAGTTCAATAACCTTTTCTCAGTAGTGAACGTACCAAAATTGTATGTGTAGATTATTTTTTGGCATTATAAAATAATTATTATTAAATAGATACAAAGTGCTCTTGCTCTATATGTGTATGTCAGATATGTTTGCTTCTTTTGCGCATTTGTCAGTTTTGGCATCAAAAATGCACTCAAAATTATATTTAAAATTGTGTACAAGGTTAAAGTCAACGGACATACCTTTTTTTGTATTTGTCTAAAACCGCAATCTCATTAGATAAAACATTTTTATGGGAAAAATTTATTTGACAGTACATATGTATCATCAAGAGTAAACTACGACTGAAAGGTAAAAAACCAAAAAGTAATGTGGTTAATAATAAAATAGTGGTCATTACTTACCACTTATTTAAAAATTCAATACTGAATAGAGGAGTATTTTTATCTCATCCAATGTAAAGGCACTATAGGTAATACAAACAATGAATAAATATCAGAATCAAATTTTAGGTAGTGATAGGTTAAAGTAGCAGCTTGGGCACCAAATTTACTTTAGCACAAATAAAGTCTCATTGTTACACGGTTAAGTTACTATCAGACCTAAAGAACTAACAATAAAGACGTCCATTTTACAAAATGAGATTCCTCCCATTTAGGCAGAAAGAAAACAACCTGACTAATCTGCATTAGAAGGTGATTAAAAATACTATATATATAAACACTGAACTAAATTTTAAAGACGATGTATTTGAATGAATGATCCACTATTGCCGGAGCTGAAAAGAAGACAACGAGGATGCTACACATTTGCTTTGTAATTGTTTAGCGTATACATACAGTAGATGCTATGAATTTACTTATAAGAGGATCTTAGTCATCTGCAAACTCTGTTCTTAAAGCAGATTTTGCGCTTCATTGAAATTTCGAAATGTTTTTAAACATTCTAAATTTTTACACTAAAGCATATCCAAGTGAATACCTAGTATCTAGTACCCATTTTTAAACCGTTTGAGTTTAATACGATAACATAACATAAATTCACAACTTAATGAGCTGAATTGGTACATTTTAGTGTTCAAACTTCCAGCTATCTGCTATGTTAACTGGAGCTTTGTCACTGTCACAGTCTTATAACCATATCATTAATCTGTATTAAAAAAGTTACCCCAGATTTAACAATTGAAAACGGCATTGTAATTACCAGTTAGAATATTTAATAATTACATACTTTGCATACATGAAGTACTTGAAAAAGGACAATCCAATCCAGTGATGCACGGAAAGTGGTGCTGTGATTTTCGCGTAAACCATAATAAAGTCCAAAGTCGTATAAATAATATGCGATAATAATAAGCAGAATTTAAGAGGCGTTCACATCGATACATTCGCTTGTGTCTTAATGAAGATAACTTAGAGTAGGTAGGGAAGTGCAAGAAAATTGCTAGCTAAAACACCACTTTAAACGAAGTTCAGAAATATGTCCGTTAAATTATAACTACACGCATTAATTGTAATATACATAAATTAGAAGTTAAAAGAAAGATCTGGAGATCTGATGATAGTAGACACCTATCAATGTTATATTACATCATTATGTATGACTAACAATTTTCAAATAAATAAATTTATGCTTCATTCTTATTTATAACAAAGAATATTTAAATAAATGTAAATTATTTATTTATTAAAAATTATTAATTAATGATAGTTTTAAGTAAAGATTTATTTATACTCGGACTTATCATTCAAAACGTATTTTAAATACAAATAACGCAACCGCAAGTACAGAAATATATTTATAATCTGAGTCATAAAACTTCCTGAGAACTATACTATAGAATGAGTTCACAATTTTAACATCGATTATACTATAATAAATTAAGGATTATGTAGTAAAATTTTTATAATTATAATCGAAAAAATTGTGTGCATATGTAGATAAAATGTGCATTAAACATTCTGATATATATGAAGAAAATTCAACCTACCTTGATTGTAGGAATAATATTCATGGAATTCATAGGATACTCATTTAACATTTTATCCATATTTGTATTAATTTCTGTAAGCATTATATTGGTTTTGCTTGAATTTGTATGAAGATTTGAAGAATTTGAAGTATTTGACTGGGTTGGCGATAATTCTATCATATCTTTATTTAGTATATCAACAATTTCTGTATTCATTTCCGTAAATTGTTCTTTTATACTAAATGGTGAACTTAATACATCATTAGATTTTCGAGATTTCGGTGGACTTCTAATAACAGACTTAGCAACCTTTTTTGGTGGGGAACTTGCATCGTATGTATGTGTGGTGACAGCACATAAGTCTCCAAGACCATCTTCAAACTCTAATTGTTCAGAGTATTTTTTAATTGCCGCATATCTATTTTTACTCACCGAAGCCAATGCAGATAAATCTTCATCATTTGGTGTTTGAGGTTCAGAGCGGCTTGTTGCAGATAATTTTATATCATTTGGTGTACTTGCTGTATCGTGTTCATCGCCTAACACTAAACTCATTGGGCGTTTTATAAGATTTGAGAAGAAATCCATATTTTCTTAATTTTTTTCTGCTATGCACTATTAAACACAATACTTCAATGAGTATTTACACATAAGCACTTATATGTAAAATTTTCAGTCAGGATTTGTAATTATCCATAAATATTTATATATATATTACTTTTTTTCTCACTTATAATAACTATATCGATTTTATGAAGTATATATATATTTAATTCATATGTTATATGATTTTTATAACTTTTGCTTTATCAATGATATAACGATTTCGAATTTATCAAATGATTGTACTATATCTCTATATCTCAAAACACAAGTAAATACACAATTATTTACTATTGAATTTTGGGAGAAATAAAATAAAAATAAAATACATAATTTTTGTCGGCGCTTACGATCCCGATGCGCGACGTTCAGTTGTTGGTGTTTACTGAATGTGCCGTGCTAAAATATCGAAATAAATTTTTTAAATATTTTGATTTTCAGTTTTTCCACTACAGTGCCACAGTTAGAAATTTCGCCGCAGGGGGTTTTCATCAATAAATCTATTAAAATATTATAAATAGAAACAATAGAACTGTGGAACTCAAAACAGAGATTTAGAAAGTAGAATATATGTGAGTGCGAAGTTAAACTCTCTTATCTCTTAGAGACGAACAATAACTTTTTAAATCATAAATCTACTTATAGATACATTACACAATGTAGTTACATGCAGACAATTACAGGTCTCAACTTATTATAATTTGGCAAGATGAAAATATAGCCACTTGTCAAGTACATATATGGTCGAGGGATTATATGTTCTTGCGAGAAGGGTAGAATTAAAAGAGAAAGAGTACAAACAATGATCAGATGAGGTTATTTTCGACTTATGGTAGGGCGCTCTGATATTTTTATGCGTGCATGTCTTTTTGAACCTTAACAATTTATGTGAATAATTGAAAATTGATTTTATATATATATACATAATTATGCACAGTTCATAAAAATTTTTAATGAAAGAAATTAACGTAGTATTAATACATCTTATTCTTTTGCAAAACTTTTACAAAACCTATTAGTTGATACTGAAAAATTAACTATGTTTCCGAGGTTATTGTGAGAGCTTATTGTAACACTTTCTTTGATTTAAAACCTTAAATCTCTTTAACCTCCATTTAAAACGGTTATTGTGGGTTAATACGTAGCTCATTGGGAGCTTAGTACATATCACGGAATGGAGTGGTGTACTGAACTTGAAACCTCTTCAACCTTTATCAAAATCCGCTATTCGAAAATTTACAACTAGGTCATTGGTAGTTTAGAAAGTTTACAGCTAACTCATTGAAACTTTAGACGGTTATTAGCTAGCTCATTAGTAGTTTAGTATATACTATAGACTGCAGCACATAGTATACTACTATGTGTTTCAGATTGTTACCCTTGTTGTATTTCTATATTTAGGATACTTATAGCGTTTCAAAGAGTTTATTCCCTAAAATCAACTAGAACTAATATTAACTTATAAACAAAAGCATATTTGCCCTCTTTCACTACGTCACTGATTTGCTTTTTATCAGCTCATTTGTTTATAAAGTCTGGTTGCTCTTGATAATACGTGAGGCTGCTGCTCTTGACGGGGCGTATATAGATTCAATACTATTTCTAATTCATTGTATCTTTTCACACCGTGACGTTGAGATGCTGACGTTGTTGTTGTTGTTGGTGTTGTTGTGATGATGATGATTAGTGAGAGCAGTTTAAATTTAATTTTAATTTTTTTCTTTTTCTTTTTTCTAGAGCAAGTACACTAATTAGATCATTTTGCATGAATGTCGAACTTTGTTGAATAGTTGCTTGAGGAATTTATAACTGTTCTTTAGATTATTTAATAGCTAATGATGATTGTTGGAAATCAAATTTGTTTATTTAAATTGTAATTTTAAAAAATTTTATTCGAAAGTATTGATGTTGGAAATCGTAAGTTGAATGACTATATTATGAAAATTTGGTATAATTTAAATTTTGTAATATAAAAAATTATGGTGGAATAAAAAAAAAATTATTGTTTTAATGATTAAATTTTTTTATTTATGTATTTTTTAACGGTCCTAATGTCAAATAATACAGAACTTTTAAATTAGTTATAGAATTTTACGGTTATCGATATTTCGACTATCGTCTATAGCACCCTGAAGATGACTATTGGCCAATTAACCCATAAAAAAGTACATAAATAAAAAACTTTTATACAACACCGAAAATATAATTTTTTTTATATATTCTAATCTTTATTAAATAATTAGAATTCATTTTGTAAACCTAATTTACACAATTTGAAAAATAATTAAGCAGCGACGTTTTAAAACTTATAATTAATATAACAAAACTCTTTTAAGTTTATTGACCTATAAGACTTCTTGACTGACTTCTTTCATGTTAATATTTTTAATCACTAAAGAATGACTATGTTAAGAAGTAATAAATAAATCAATTATAATTTGTTAATTATTTTCTTAACAAAGTTTTAACTAAAAATGTTAATAACATCGGGCGATATTATATATAGTAAAGAAGAGAAACAAATTTTCTAGGTTCTCAGAAGAATTTTTCATGATCGCTGCGATTCAATCAGCATCATCCAATCAGCATCATTAGCCAAGTAATTTTGGGTCCAATGTGTCTTCTAGAGAAAGGTGGTTTTGACTCAAGCCTAATATTTGCGAAGTTATTTGTATTTCGGTATGTATACCTAATTCATTACCACTTTATATCTTTAACTTTAATTTGAATTACTTCACTGTTTGTTAATATTAGATCTTTATTTATTATCGTATTCGGTTAATATATGCCATATATTCTTCTTAGGCAATGGCTGCTTTTTATTTATAATTTTTAGAATAAAAATAAATACTTGTAAAAATTCAACATCATCGATATTATAGTCGTCACTAACCTCATTCTACAAGTCTCTCTACCAATGCTGATTGAGAACCGATGTTTATTTAATTGGGTACACCTAAGGCAACGTGTCTTGATCTACACCGTACCTTCAAAAATGGTTTTTCTAATTGACTGCTCATCTACTCATATGATATATAGGACGCACTTATCGTAATCTGTCAAGGTTAATTTTTGTAACTGTTCCTGTTTCAAGATAGATAGTATACAGTTCGTCGCTGGAATCGCACTTCCTCACATATGTGAGGAATTCTTCTCCGTAGAAGTTTTCTCTGGAACGCGGTCAAGAAGTCAAAGTGTTTTTGGCTAAACAACCAAGTTTCAAAACCATTGTAAAGCATTATTTTATACAGTAATATCTTGAATGTTATGGTAAGATTTTTAGACTTCAATATCCTTGACAGTGGTTGTTTTTAACTGATTTTGATTTATTCAAATAATGAGCTATTAAATCAGCATTTGTAATAGGTTTTTATTACATAAAAACAATTTCAGTTTATCAGAAAAATTTTTTGATTATTTATTATAACGTCAAAATAATTTCAAAATAATGCTCTCCTATTCAACCTGGATATGTACTAATCAGCGAAGAAACCTTAACAATAATTGAGCTCAATAGATAAGCACTAGTAGATAAGAAACTAATACTTTAAGAAATTAAATTATCTGCTAATGTTTTCATTTCATGAATAAAAGATGTAACATACGAATAAGATCAAAAATTGCTTATTTTTTCCATATAAGCTTCTATCATCCGTAAAAATATGTATTCTAAAAACGTAATTGTTAAAGCAGAGGTAAAAATATTGTAAGATAAGAAAAATAAGATTATCTGCAATACACTATACATATCCTTTCTTTATCTTTGATACTGATTGGAAATATATCTAAACTGTATAAAATGATACTTAAAGATGCAACCATTGCCGAATGGTGTCACATCAAGATCATTTTGAAGGTATCACAATAAGATGGTGATGCAGTGATAATGAAGTATCTGTAATACCAATTATTGTGACATTAAGATTTGATCGATTTGCAAGCCGAATTATAATACTAAGCATTTTAATACAACAAGCTTAGTTCAATTGTAACATTAACATAGTATAAGTTAAATAGATTAATGTTACTGCAATAATCGTGTGCTATAAACTATAAAATATTGAACATACCCTTATACGACGATTAAATTTCATGTGCTCCATAGGATAGTCAATCATTAATTTTTCAACATTTTGATTGATTTCCGAAAGCATTTCTTTCTTATCAGTGGAATTGCTTACTAATGTTGAGTTACTCACGTCAGACGGAAATTCTATTGACTTTTCTTTATTTAGTTTAACTTTAGTTCTTTTATTAGGATCTGTTGTTTCTTCACCAATATCATTTCGGTGAGCAGGTCTCTTTTCTACTTGTGTGTGTGAAATATTTGATCTTCTCGTGTTGTGAGGAACAAAAGCTCCCAGTTCTTTAAGATATGAACGTTTAGATGATTCTTTCATTCTTGATTATAGTCTATCGTTAATTTATATTTGCACACGACTATTTTAGTTGCTCACCGTTTTGTGAACTGCTTAAAACTAAATTCTTCGATCACTTTATAAGTCTTCGAAAAATATATGTGATACTTTCCCTTGTGCGTTAGTTAATAAAATACTTTGAATATTGATTCGAGTTACAATAATTAACAAAAGCGTTAGACAAAAAACTTCTGAGCACAGTCTCAGTTAACATGCACCATTGATTACAAATTTAGTGAACTATAACGATTCTTTCGATCAGAGACTTCATTCTATGCAATTTTTTTTTGAAGTAAAAAATATATATTAAAATTTGTAGCTCAGTCTGGTTTGTTTTCTTTTTGAAATTAAATCATAAATGGATATTTTTCCAAAAATGTTTTATTTTTCAGTGAAATATTGATTTTCAATTAATTAATCAAACTTTGCACATTTAGAAAAAACCCGTAAAGGAGAAAATAGCAAATATACGGTTTCTTATTAAAACTTGAAGAAATGATTCCATAGAATTTTAAAGTGTCCAAATATGAAGACTTAAATCATTAACTCAGCAGGAACAATTATTCACACGATATATTGCATCCATATTGAGTATAAGAGAAATAGCGAACGAAAATTATTATATCATTTACTTAAGTAATTACATCGGTTATTAAAAATAAACCAAATTATTTAATATAGAATTGTATTTAAAAAATTTAATTAATTGTGAAATTTAGATTAATCGCTAATTGAGATACATGGAAGTTTATCTAATGGCCTGCCACTGCAACCAACCAACGAACCACCAGGTCAAATATGCAGCGTTTTATTCGAAAACTGTTGCTATTTTGAAGGTAATTTTATTATACGCCTTTCATAAAAGTTCCCATCCTTAATGATAAAAAATTGAGACTGTCGATTTTCACAAACCTTTCTTGAAGCGAATTTTTTATCAGAAAAATCGTTCACCATGGGTAGGAACAAATGACGAACTTCTCAACAAAGTACCTGTAGCTTATAGCGAGTCATATGATGTCTATTTCAATTGGCATATCTATTTATTGTTTTTATCCGTTCATCCTTTTTAAAAGGAATGTTTTGTCTTAGTAAACAGAGTTGTTAAATCTATACTTCGACAACACTTTTAAGTGTGTTTCTCTGCGGAAGATATTTGCGGTGTCCAAAAGTTGTATTGGCATATGATCTAATTTCTCAATAGCCTGATCTGAAAATACTAACTAAATGAACTAGATATCATATAAAAGTAATTTTGAATATATGTATAGATTACATTGAGTTAATATCTAATTCACATGTAATCAAAACAATTAGTTACAAATAATCTCTGTCTAATTGTAAGTGTAAAACCTTTAAAAAAAATATAGCTGAAAACTGTTTCTCTGTATTTTACATCAAAATTTCTGTCTATCGAAAGAAGACCCCAAATGCCGCAAACTCCATTAACATTATTGGATTTAATAATCAAATTACTTCCATTTTTATATGAATACAGTATATATATAATTATTAAAACTATAGTATATATATACTTTGGTATTTATATATATAAAGACATGTCACTCATTTTTATATAGTATAATTATAGCGAGATAATTTTATATTTGCCAAATTGTTTGGGTTAACTGATCGAAAGATTTATAGCTATATAAACATTCATACTGTGCTCGTCCCATACCAGCAGTAATTTGGGGCGTAAAAAATAAAAATATAAACAAAAACGCAACAGTATAAATATAAATATATATTCACAATATATATAGTCCGGTTTGTTTAATTATTATAAGATGCAAGACTTGTATCTATCTAAATTTATCCAGCACACGTATAATATTTATGGAAAATTTATTTTTGTGGCATATTTAACGCATTAAGTCTGTACACAATATGTGAGTAAATGCATACTATCCCAACAGGAAATGCAAAATTGTGTATATTTGAATCTACGAGTACATTTATCTCGAAGATGGATTTACTATCCGAACATAAGTTGAAGAGTGAAATTTTAAAATAATAGGTAAGATATAATAGTTACATTTTAGTTTTTTATATGATAATTCAAATATAAAGTTGAAATACAAGTACTTATTTGATTGAATTATATTGAAATGATAATCTCACGATCTAGATATCTAGTAAAGCGACCTAAAAGATCTATTGTACCCCTTAGTCAGATTAGAGTGTTTCTTCAAGTCAGACTTCTTTAATGAAAGACAATATAGAGCCTATCTTTCCTAATCTTGGATCCTTATGATCCATGAAATACCCTCCTAGGTGTTTCTTCCGCTTGTGCATCAGTGCCTGGCACTTAACAAGCACATCGTAAGCAGTTTCTCTCTCTTCTCTGCAGTATCTGCAGTCTCAGTTGTATTAATTTCCTTACTTCGATAGGTGATTATCCAATCTACAATGATCGTTCAATAATCTCGCAATAATTCTTAGGTTATTTTTTGATTGTTCTATACAGGGCCCATTGTAACATCATCATAAACTTAATTTGTGTTGAATATTGAAAAATATTTTATCTTCTCACATTAACATTGGGTGCGCCAAAAATGTGTCTTTAATATACTGTGGATGAAAATATGTAGGTACTTTCAGATGCTCATATGGTATTATGAGGTAATAAAGTTATTCCAAATAATAATTCGGAACTCAATTCATCATTAAGTGTATAAAAATTACAAAAGTTACATATAAATATTTCCAAATAATTAGCAATATCTACATTACAATAACAAATCACCATTAAGATTAAAAATCAATAGTTAGAGGACTTCTAAGAGATATTCTAAATTATGTATGTATGTATGTATGTACATTGTGACCGAAAAGTTTTCGGGAAATTTTAAATAAAACGCAAAATTCTTAATCTTCATCAATATTTATTTTATCTCCTTCAAAATATGCTCCATTAGAAGCGATACACAAATGCCAACGTTTCTTCCAATCATCAAAACATTTTTTATAGGCGCTTTCCGGTATGGCTTTGAGTTCCCTCTGCGAATTCTGTTTTACGTCTTCTATGGATTCAAAACGCGTTCCTCTGAGTGGTAATTTGAGGTTGGGAAACAGGAAAAAGTCACACGGTGCAAGATCAGGTGAATACGGTGGCTGTTCGATGGTATTTATTGAATGTTTGGCCTTAAAATCGTTGATAATGTTGAACAAATTGAGGTGAATCGGAACAAGCCGGGCGTTGACACGTCGCATACACAAATTGTCCACCAAAATCAAACGAGCCATCTCACGACCGATGCCTAGCTCTCGTGCTATCTCTCTAACACTCACATGAGGATTTTTGAACACGATTTCCTTTGCCTTTTCAATGTTTTCGTCGGTGGTAGAGGTCGAAGGTCGTCCAGAACGCGGCATGTCTTCGACGGTCGTACGACAGTCCTGAAAGGCTTTGTACCACTCATAAACTTGAGTTTTCGATAAAACTGATTCCCCATAAGCCTTTTGTAGCATTCGCAACGATTCTGCACACGAAATTTCGTTCGAAAAACAAAATTTGATGCAAACTCTTTGTTCAATATTTTTTTCCATTGTTTTTTTCGCAACGCACTACTGAGGTGAACTGGTTTCAACAGCTGCCGTAAACGAACTGTCTGACAGATCGCGCTCATTTTTGGCATAGTAATTAAGGACAGTGCTGCCAAACTACATAAACTTAAAATATCGAAAAATATACAGCGCGCGAATTTTAAATGAGAATTTCCGAAAACTTTTCGGTCACAAATGTATGTATATTTATTTTCATTTTAAATTTCATTTTTACAGTATGATTAGTGAATCTTAAATTAATATATAATTAAATATAATTAAAATAGCGACTGTGACACATGTCGTCCGTCGATTTATGGTGTAATAGTAGTATTATAAAATTATCAAAATCTTTGCAATCACATTGACCGATACGTTTATACTAATGTCCACATGCGTATATTAACTATGTTTCCGTATTAATCAATGAAAATAGTATCATGAACAATTTAAAGCTTTTTAATTAATTATTTTTATTGCTACTGGGTTATATTCTTTATTAAGCATTGCAGTATAGCCTGCCAGCGCAATGTGCTTTATGCTAGATATTCTAGATTTGTAGTTGTATGTAGGCATTATGATCCCATTTTAAAAACCAAAAGACGTATATTGTATAAACAATGACATTGTAGATTGCAATTATTTATATATCAAAATTAATTTTTTAGACTATGTGTTGAAAGGATATTTGCAATGTGCGGTAGAATTGATTTATAAAAAGTAGTATTTTGAAGTATTTTATTTTATAATAGAAGAAAAACAAGATTTAGCAGAAAATCATAAAAACTATAAATATTTACTTATGATTAAGCCTGTGATAATTGAACGTACTAAATTTTAAAGTAAGATTTACTTTAGTTTTTTTTCAGATCTATGATGTTTAATAAATTGAGACAAAAACATTTTTGCTTTGATAATAGTTTCGCAATCTACGCAGAGAAAGACTTGATTAGCAGGTCCAATGTGGATAACAGTCTTTATGCTGGCATTCATTTCTGTAATATAGGAGTGGTTTCTGAAGCAGAGATAGCAATATACTTTTTATGTCATAACTTCGATTCACACTGCACTAAATTAAAGAAATCGGAAAATGTTCCATTTATCTGTAACATAAATAATTGATCTCTGATAAATATATATTTAAAAATAGGCCGATCCCTTTGTGTTTCAAGCCAAACTTTAAAACAACTTACAAAACATAATTATTAAATTGTATATGGCTCATCTATAACATAAATTATAGTATTTAAAATAGGATAGAGCCCTGAAATTATTTGCGAAATCTGACAGACTTACTAACACCGCGTTATCAAATCTCAGAATGGTTACAGGCTCCTCGGGGAGATATGCAGATCTGAGGTCAATTATTGCTTAGTCTAATGAAGTGATAAACAATAATCCAGTCAAGGCGCAAAGAGGGGTTTTGTAGAAACCTCGCAGTTAATAGATAGTAAAAGTGCTCAGGTGCACTGACTCAACTCAACTAGCCTCAACATATATATATAGTATTTAAAATAAAATAATGATGAATATTGTTTTATAATTTTGTTACTTTATACTTTGAATACCGTAGTATAATATATTTTAACTTACAGTTCTAAATGAAAACTGAACTGAGCAACAGTTTCTGAAGAAGCGAACTTTGTATCAACGATGATAAAATGCCGTAAATAAGATAGAATCTTACATACACTAGTCTAAATGCATGAGTATTGTACTATTAAGGATTTTTCTTTTATGATCATACTTTAAATCTATACTGATATCTATAGAATTAAAAATATGAATATATAAAGTAATTATCCTCTCAATTCTTTTTTACAGATACGAAGAGTGCACTTTGAATCGTAGTACAATCAATCGTCTATGCGTGGCGGAGCTAAGAGTGGACTCGTAAGAGTGAAAAACTTAAAACATACCTTATACGAATAAATAATAGGGAAGAGTGCACTTTAAATCGTCTATGCCAAGAGTGGTTTCGTAATGAAAGTGAAAAACTATCAAATACGAATAAATAATAGTCCATAGGTCTTGTTACAAAATATGGACTTGGAAACTTAAATTAAATCTTAGAAAATCACGTACTAAGAATTAGTGCTGTTCATAGTATTCGGATATTTTAAAACCCGAAATTATTCGATTAATCCGATATCAACGAAGTCTTCGGAGTTGAAAAAAAAAAAATGGGAATTTTTTTAAATCCGTAGTGTTCGAATATCCAGATTTAAATTATTCGGAGAAGTCATGAGCAAAAGTTAATCGGAGAGCATAATAATAAAGATAATAGAATTTGTGGTTGTTTGTACGATTTTATGTGTTTGGTATTTTACGCAGAATATTATATGTATGTAACGTTTGTTTTATTTTATTTTCTTTTATTTTATTAGATATTATTAAATAAAAAATTTACATTTTGTTTACTTTCTAAAATGTGTGTCACGTAAATTATGTTTCGAAAATAATGGTAGAATAATAACGGTGGGGTGTCTCCAATTTTGTTTGTGTGATGGGAAAAAATATATTTAAGACGAATTTATGTCAATGACTGGGAATAAGTTGCAAGAAATTAAGAAGACTGGAGGAGTATTACAATGCAAAGACTGTTTTTCAGCTACAGTGGCCACGAAGAAGACATTACAACATTCAAATCTCCATATACTAACAATTGCCTTAAATACAGTTGTTAGAATATGATCTTAAAGCTCACAATGATATTATAAATTTTTTTTGTTGTATTTGTACTTTTTAATATGTATTTGAATTAAAATAATTTAATTGAAATATATAATAAATATACTCTTAAAAATATTAAATCATTTTTATTAAAAAAAATAAAATGTAAATACTGTCTTCCAGTTAATTATGAGGTACACTGAAATAGTCTTATAAAAACAATTTTCTTGGTTTAATCAGATTTATAGATCATATTGTT